TAAAACGATTAGTTCATAATACAGAGTAAGTGCAAGGACAACAATATAACGTAGAAGAAAAATTAAAATTATTTGTTCTAAATTCTAATAGAAATCACGACATAAGACTTTAATCTAGGGGGTGTTTGGCTATCTCCCCAGACCATGGTTTGAAAATTTTTTTTGCCAAACACCTTGTAAAAATCTCAAACCATGGTTTTGGGGAAAACCATGGTTTTGTCCCCCAAAACCACGGTTTTGGATAAAGCCACCAGGAGCTGCTTTCAAATTATTGAACGTTGGTGGTAGGCCCAGGGAATATTACATAGAACAAGCGTCAATTATTTGCTTCGTCCTTCACTGTTCACCGAGCTCCTGGTAAGAAATAATCATAGTTTTTTGTTGGCAAAATAAATTATTTTACAAAAAACATATTTACTTATTTTATTAATATATATATACGTATTAATTTTTTTATTTATATTCTTTATGTCTTATTTATTATGTTGCCAAAGTATATATTATTAACAAATTTATTACTTCAAATAAACATATATTATGAAATATATCTTGTATGTAATTATCATTTAAACTTATATCTTTTTTAGTAATTTCTACATATAAAAAAGCACTTCTGACAACAACTATCTAAACACTTTTACTTTATCAGAATCACTTTTTCAGAAAATTTATTCTTTCAAAATATATTCTCTAGAAGCTATTCTTTAAACCATGGTTTGGCTTCATCCAAACACCCCTTTAGTAAGAACAACCTGCCAAATTATTTCTTGAAGTAAAAGATCAGGGAATGGGAATGTGAGAAAGGACTGCTTGACATAAATGATATTCATATGCTCTCTAATGTAGAACCGATTCAATAAATTTAATTAGATTATATAAGTTAGTTAAATTAGTTGATTATAATAAATATGATATATTTTTCTTAAGATATTCTTATTCATGATGCTCTTTGACTTTAACTATTGTTGTTAAAAGGAAAAAATACCATCACTTTGTTGAGAAATATCAATAGGGGATAGTTGAGGGAGTATCAACATGACATAGTTGAGAAAGAAAAATAACAAATATAAAAAATAATTTTTATATTTAGGACCAAAACTAATTATTTAATTAGGTCATATATCAAGTATCAAGAGTGTTATGTAATGTATTCGACTTTACATGAACCCTGATTGATAAACCCAATTAGAACTACCCTTAAACAGTGAATATAAGAAGAAGTCGGACGGGACACAATACGATACAGAGGACAACCTACAAAGAGATGATGCCATGATCAGGCACAAAAAAAAAAGAAAAAAAGGAAAGAGATAATGCCATGACAAAAGTATTCCTATGACATTTCTGCTTTGTAAGAACTATAGCCCGCTCAGAAAGAGATGAGACGTCCATCGTTATTAATATTCAATATCTAATGTATTGGCGAGGTTGGATTTAGTGAGACAAAATAGTCCTCATGATATGATAAACTAACAAAATTTGAATCCCCGTAAAAAAAAAAAAAAAAAAGGTGTTTACATTTAGTATTTACTAATATTTGGAACAAGATTGTCCACAATAGAAGAATATCTATACCTACCAAAAAAAATTATTTAATGTCAATACAATATCATAAAAAATACAAAATTAGCATTGGCAAGCTTTATTATTTATAAGTTGTATATGATATTTTTCTTTATTAGGGTCATCACTATAATATGAAAATTTATAAGTTGTATATCCTAAGGAATACATGAAATCTTAAAATAAAAAATCATTCATTGTCAATATTTAATATCATAGAAAATATAGAGTTTACTTATATATTATTTATAAGTCGTATATAATATCTTTATAACACCTCCGGCCATTTTTACCACTTCGCTACGGCAATTTGAAACCGTTTTTTCCTTCAATTTCCGAACTTGATAATTCAACCAATGGGGGTAATTATTTAAGCCATTTCCAATATTTACAACGATATTGACAATACCTACAATCATTTTTACAATCTTAAAAAACCGCCATCAAATGACAAGATGAACATTAAGATTCCACCACAACTTGATGTTTTCTTGATGAGAGTGTAGAAATTCAACCTTGCAAATAGTGAGAAAGTTTCATTGTCTTGACCGCTGAAACATGAATAAAATGCTCTTACTATTGCATGATCATCCTCCCATCTACAAGCCTCTCTTTGTGCCAGGCACCCTCAAACTCCGATTGCGCATTAGAGGGAGGAAAGATAAAGCAGTGGGAGTTTCAGCTGTCGATACAAGCTTCTAAAAAGAAACCTAAAAGGAAAGAGAAAACGAAAGTATATTTCTGGACAAAAAATGATTAATTTTTCCTTTTCAAAATTAGAATAATTAATTTGAGATTTTGAAATTCAAATGATATTTATATAAGAATTTTTCATTTATTATTCACTTTACTTCTGATTTACAGTATTTTTTTTATCCGAAATGTCTAAATATTTAAGTTTTATTGTGACCTAGGCGCCCGATTTGACAATATAATTTCTTCTAATAAGAAAAATATACTTAAAACGATTTTTTTTTTGCCAACAAAAAAGTATGAATATTCGAGTATATCCAAATAGTAGGGATCAAATGATCGAACCAAACTGACGTGGATCCGTGCTGTCTGGCCGAACCTTCAGTCAAATTACGATAGGAGTCTGATCTGCTTCATCCAATAGGGAGTTGCCACCTAGGCATCCATCATTCAATCAAATTTTGCATCATTTGCGCCGCGACCAGAACCTGAAAATTCCATCCAACGTACAAATAATTAAGGACTTACTTGGTTTCTAGATTTGAAACAATTTTTTAAAAGAAATAAATTTTTTTTTCTATTATTCGATTTTAGTTGATTATTTTAAAAAAAACAAAAAATAACATTTTTTCTGGTCCTAAATATAAAATTTATTTTGTACTATAAATTATATTATAAAATATGTCTTATATTTAGGATAGGAGGAATAATATGTTTTTAAAAACTTAAAAAACCTTAAACAATTTTTAGATATTTTCTTCATTTTGTTTTTATATTTTTTCTTTTAGAAAATTGGAAAGAAATTTCTACGTATTATTGCCAATGACAGCCACCGCTTGCTGGATATGATTTTTTTTTTTATTTTTTTTGTTTCAAATGTAATGTTTAAAAAAATAATAAAAAAGAAGCTGAAAATTACTAAATGTCAAATAAAGAATCTCAAAAAAAAATTTGTTCTTATTTACAAATTCAGTATTGTTAACATCAAATAAAGTACCAAATCTTATTTGGGGTTTAGTAATTTTTAACTTCCTTTGTTGTCATTCTCTCTATTAAGAAATAATTATCCACACATATCTTTTTGTTTTATTAGTTCTTAAAACTTGTTTTAAAAAATAATTTTATAAAATTGTTTTGGGAACAAGAAAACAAGAAACAGAAACAAAAAAAACCCTAAATTTCAGTTAGCTGCAATATACAAGTTATCACATTATTTTTTTATAAATAAACAAAATGATGTATTCTTCAAATCTTATTCATAAACAGGAAAATGATAATAAAAATGATACTTTAATTTGGAAAACCCCAAATAGTTATCTTAATAAGAGAAATTCCATTTCAGTCACATATCACTAAATATAAATTCTAAAATCTTAAAATGATCATATTGCCCTTCTCTTATTTGTGCTTATTCTATGAAAATATCTTGAAAATAGATTGTTAATTGTATTACCAAACTTGTTAATAAATTTACTTACCAGTTTATTAAGCTAAAAAATCTATCAAAATCATAATATCTCTTAGATCACGTGGTGAATAGTGTTATTGGAGTTATTAATATTATTATAAGAGTCTTTAATCATGTCACTAAATTTTTTTTTTAAAAAAACTCACTTTCACAATTTTCTAAGAAACAAGTTGCTAATTGTATTGTTAAACTTGTTAGTATCATTACATGATTTGTCAACCATGCTATAGAAGTTGAAAAATTCCTAATTTGTCATGTACTCACTAATTGCAAAATTAAAGTAACATTGCAAAATGCGAATAAAGCATTCTGTTTGGACCATCATAATTGAACCTAAATAATTAAAAATGTGAAAGCACAAAGGAGGATAGGAAAAAATGGGTTAATATAGTTTTGGATCTTGAAATATGGGCATATTTTAGTTTTGATCCCTCAAATTTTAAACCCATAATTTTAGTCCCTAAAATCTAGTATGTTTTAAAATGTTAGCATCTAAAGATATAACGGTGCTAAATCTATTGAAATGTCATAAATGGCATTAAAAGGGTGATGTGCACTCGCCATATCGCACATAGTTGGATTTTATGTGGATAACAGAGGAGAAAAGAAGAACATCTCTTCAAAATGCATTTGTTTAGCACTATTTTTTCTTGTTAACATTTGAGGAGTTTTTCAATACACTGTGCTTTGAGAACTCATTTTCCTTTGTATAACTGTTTTCTACATTACATTTTGAGGACCTATTTCTTTTTTTTCTTCTTATTATCCACACAAAATATAGTTAAACATCATTTGGTGAGTTTATATCATTATTTAATGCCATTCATAATACGTTAACATATTTTAACACTGCTACTAAGAACTAATATTTTATCAAAACGGACTAAATTTCAGAGAGAAAAACCATAAATTTATAATTTAAGGGATCAAAATCAAAATAAAGTCAAATTTTAGAAACTAACAATTATATTTACCCAAAAAATGTGTTAAAAGAAACACTTGCAAATAACTCACACAATAAAAGTGAGGCAAGATATGTATTGGGGACCAGTTGTTCAATGCTTTTTATACATTATTTAATTTAATGAGAGAACTTATTATAGTCTGTATATTATCCAAGTTGGCCTACAAGGGCCCCAGTGCCCTACCATGACCCCAATATTGGCATATAAAAGCCATTTAAGTCTCACACATGATCATATGCCGAGTCACATTTTATTCTGAGGGCAAAAGCACCTAAATCTTGAACCCACATATATATCCAGGAGTCTCCTCCATGGCCGGAAAAGTGGCCAGATTTCTGCCTAGCCACCACCGGGAAAGAGACGGCGGTGGTAGCTATGGCTCTGAAAAGGCGAGCCTTGAGGAAGTAGAGTTCGAGTTTCTTGGGGATGGAGGGGAGTCATCATTTGCTGCAACTACAAGCAGAGATGAAATATTGGAATTAAATGAAGATGATGACGACGAGGGCAAAAAAGGAATTGAGCAGAACAAGAGCTTCTGGGACAACCAGCACCAACTTTTGCAGGCATGAATTTGTATATATAGATATTGTCGTATACATTTGTATTTTTTTTGTTTTGAAAATGCTTTTAAAATTAGATTTAATGTTTAGTAATTATATTCTAATTAAAATTGTGTTAGGATTTATTGTAGTTAATTTAACTCTTCAATTTTGTTTATAAATATATTATATAAAAAATTAAAAAATTTTAATTAAATTTTAACTAATTTTTATTATTTCTGACTGATTTAATTATTGTTCAGTTGGTTTTTATCGATTTGCGACTATTTTTATTCACTTTTTTCTAATTTATATCGATTATTACAGGTGTAGAAAGGTAAAATTATTTTTACACTGTTTGTATTGTTTACTTTGTCAACTAAAATGGTCAGCAGCCTTTATTTCTTATTTATAAAATTGTGACCGGTCAGATTTTTTACCCCTTACCCACTACAATTAAGGTGAAAAAAATCTCCTATAAAAGAAACGTATTTTCCAGTAATGCCAAAAAGGTTTAATTTCTTGGTTTTCACCATTAAATATATATTGTAATTAAACAGGCTACGCTGCGTAGAAGCAGCAGTTTGGAGTCAAGAATAAGAGATAGAACAAAAGAAGCCGTTAACAAGATACAAATCTCGGAGGCTATTAATAATTATTGCGGCTGTGAAGATCCCAAAGGAAACAACTTTTCCTTCTGCAAGAAGTGCTTATTGAGAAGAGTTTCAAGTCAGCTTCAAAGTGGGGGCCATAACAGTGCCATTTGCAAAACAAAATGGAGAAACTCACGACCCGATATTCCTTCAGGTGAGTTTAATTAATATTAATTCCTCCTATAAAATATAATGGGCATAAATTATGTTTGGTCTAGAGTTTCATTTTAATTCTTCAATTTTACTAAGTATCTTTATGGTTTTCTGTTTCTAACATCGTTAGTTTTATTAACCAAAAACTGCTGACAAACAAAAAATTCACAGATACTAACATGTTACGTTTATTTTTAGCATAGCAATGATTAACACAAATTATTATTTGAGACTAGTGTTAAGATTATTAGATCATTGAAAAGATATTTCATAAAATTAAGATATTGAATTAAAACTTTGTATGAAGTAAGATAAGCAAAGTGCATTTAAATTTTGTCAATATAGTGACATAAAAATTGTGACTCCACATGAGATTCACATCTGCTCATTAACTATACTGAAATGTTTTTTTGTTACCAGTCTCTTTAATTAATAATATCAATTATGATGGATAGTATGATAATTATCTGATAATTATATAGTATTAAATATTAAATAATTATATTATAAAATATTGATCCAACTTAATCAGATTGATTGATAATTATAGTAGTACCCACCCCATATGTGTATTGATATATCTTTGTATATATTGCGAATACTTTAAGCGAAGAAATCTTTTGGGTCGGCCGAAGAAAAGATTGAACCAAATAATTATCTCCACTATCCATCCATTTTTTCTCAATTCAGTGGTCACTTTCAAAGCAGATATTTATATCACTTTAATTTGTCACTTTAGAGTTTGCAAGGCCGTATTATAAATAATACTTATATCAAGTTGTTTATATCTATTATGTTAAGTTTTTGAACCATATATAATCATGTATCTTATTTTTAAAATATTAATATTTAATTATAAATCCACATGAAAAACAAAAGAACATATGGTTATGTGCTATTAGAGAACTTGACATGATGGATATAAAAAAACTTTGGCCTAAGTTTTGCCCATTATAAAACTATATATGGTGTTAGCCTATTAGGTGAACTTTTAAAAATTGAACAAGTAAATCTGTTAAAATTACTTCAAATAATATATTATTATGCAACTTAATAAATTTTCAACTATTGAATTTTTTTTGTTCATATTCATTCATTCAACTACATGCGATAATAAAATACTTGTTAGCACATATCTTTACAAGATCTGATCATAGAAGAACTTTGAAAGCTTGATCATAACGTTGATTTACCCAGCAAAGTTAGACTTATGTAATTTTAGTAACAACATCTTTTAAACACTTCTTAATCCATGTCAGATGCCATATTATATCCTTCATAAATTTGATATGATAATACTTTATATAGTAGTAAAAGTAATGTGGTGGAAGGTTTAATATTAAAAAACTAAATGTTAAGGAAGGTAAATTTAAATTTCGAAATGTCATGAGTTATATATATAACTTGCATAAAATTTAGGGAGAGTTTTTATTTTGTGTGTTTATATTTTACCCTAATTTCTTAAATCCATTTCAGACGCCATATGGTTCTCACTAACCTGATATGACAGTTTCTATTAGTGACTTCACAATAAAAGTATAACGGCATTATATTGTGTTTAATGTCAAAATCAGAACTTTAAGAAGATTAAATTTAAATTTTGAAATGTCAATGAGTCATATGGTATTGACATAAAGTTTATCCAATGTATAATATATTCACTATTTACTTGTTAATTATTCTTTTATTAATTCCGTACAATGCATGACAACATGATCTACCCACCCAATTTTATAGTAACCATTGAAAATTTGACAGCCACTTCTGACTTTTCAAGATAATTATATCATTTTTTAAGATCCTTAATTAGTATAACCTTTGCTTTGTCCAAGTCCTTAATTAGATGTGAGTTTCTTTATAAATAATATCACATGCAATGTTTATATATGAAGCTTTAGCTTAAAAATTATGGTTTGCAGGGGAGCACAATTTTGTGGATGTGGTAGACACCACAAGCTCAAAGAAAGGAGAGGTGATTAGGGTGATCGTTGAACTGAATTTCCGAGCTGAATTTGAGATGGCAAGGGCGAGCAAAGAGTACAACCGATTAGTCCGACGGCTGCCAGAGGTGTTTGTGGGGAAAGTTGAAAAACTAAGAACCCTAATAAAGATAATGTGCATGGCAGCTAAAAGATGTATGAAGGAAAATAAAATGCACATGGGACCGTGGAGGAAGCAAAGGTATATGCAATCAAAGTGGTTAGGTCCATGTGAAAGGAACACTTCAACAACTTTGTCCTCAATGATCTATTCTGATGGGAGGATGGTGCCAAAGATGAAGGTAAAGCCAATGGCTTCCATGTTAACAATAGATTTGCAAGAGAAACTTCCTAATATGCATTGTACAATGGTTGAAGTTTCCTAATTAGTAATAAATAAGGTCTTTTTTTTTAACTTAAAAAGAATGGATGGTTTCATGTGGTCAAAATTGTTAGTGTTTTCTACTAAGCACAGGTATCATCCTATTATAAGCAATCACGCTCGAGGTACTATCTCAAAATTGTTATCCCCATAAGAATGCTAGCTTAGGTCTTCACATATATGAATGTGAGGATTTAGTAAGTAACTTGTAAATATATCAATAGTCTTTTTTTTGGTATTTGTAAAAATCATCTTAAAATTGAAAAGTTTTGAAGACCTATCTCACTGGAATTTTTTTTTAATAAATTAATTATTGGTAAACATCAAATTTTTAATAAATTTCTCAAGGAATTTAATTCCTATGAGAAATTTTTTATAATTAATATTTTGTCACGAAAAATTCTCATAGGAGTAACTTTGAACGAAAAATATCCCCCTCCATCTTCTTTACATTTTCCTAAAAGGACCGTTTCTTGGCGAGCTTACATTTGGCCAGCCCATCTCGCCAACGGGTACCCGCCAACCTCCATCCTTTTTCTAAAATTTTTTTTACACATATATTTAATTTTTTAAAATTAAATTATAAATTTTTATAGACAAGATTCTTCTTATTCTTATAATTTCATATAATTATATAATTAAATTAATATCAAAATTTGAAATATGAACATATAATTCATTGTCAATAATTATTTTATTAGTATAAAAATGGTAAAACAATAAAGAAAATGAGAAATCAAATTTAGAATCAAAGTTTCTAACAAAATGTAAAGTTATATGTAAATTAAGTAAAAATGATAAAAAAAAAATTTTGATTAAAATAAAAATAAAAATTGTAAAAAAAAAAAAAGTTGGCAAGCTAAGCCGTGGTGGGTTGCGGGTTGGAAGGTGTTGGCTGAAAACATCAAAATGGTCCCTATTTTCTTCAACTCAATCGGCCACCTTATGGGGGGTTGGCGAGTTGAGCCTGCCTCTAGTCAAGGGTTAGTGCGTCAAACTGGAGTCAATCTAGAGATTAAATCAGTGTGAAATAAAAAAATTAAAAAATAATTTAAATTTTTATCACCATCTAAGGACTAAATATTAATTCAATACCTTGAATTATAAACAAAATAATTATATACTTACAATTTCTTTCCAACCTTCTATACAATTCTTTTAACAAATTGACATCATAGTATAATATTAAAACAATCACTACACATTAATCCTAACAAAATATCAAAATAGATATATTATAATAAAATATTCCTACCTACGATATATTAATCACTAAACTAATAATTATCAATTGCTTAAAAAAGAAAAAAGTTTTTGGCTCAAAATAGCTTTAAAGGGGGAAAAAAAAAAGCAATCGGGTTAATCGGTTGCTTTCAGGTTTGTCCGGTTTACACTGGGTCAATTTGACTTTAATGTATATGCTCAAACGAACTGATTACTTGGTCAGTTAACCAATTTTCAGGCTGAACAAGCCCGTCTAGTCTGATTTTGCAAACCATGCTCTTTTCTTTGTTATTAGCATTTCCATCCTCTGCCTTGACCATAACATGTTCAAACTTCTTATAGTTTCTGAGAATTTTTGGCAATGCCCTTTTCATGGAAACTTCTCACAGTTTTGTTATCTGTTAGAATTTGCTTCCTAATAATTTTTTTGCGAGAACTTGCTCAGAAAATAAAATAAAGAATGTTGAATAATATTATCTGGTTCAAATCCATCTCATAAGTTTGTTGTTCCCCCCTTTATTCATAAACCTATTGCCTTTGGATTACCAATAAATGATTATTTTGTATATAATAAATTAGTTATCTTATTGAATTCTTTTTTTTTTTGTCACAGAAAAGTTTAGTGGCCCGAGACAAACCTCCAGCTCAAAGAGTGCTTATAGAGATACATACAAATCACTCACCAACAAAATCTTCACATCAACAGCGAGATTTGAGTTCACGATCTTATAGGAATAAGTCGATTTCTTACCAATTGAATTAACTTTTGTTAGTTCTTTTTGAATTCTTTTGATAAAATTTTTGTTTTTGCTACTATTTTGATAAAATATTTGACCCAGAGGCATTTGTAACAAAAGGCGTACCATTAGTGACCTACTCGGGCCTCGTAAGTTAGGGCCACTGAAATGCATCAATTTGGGTCCTCTCAGTTTGAATTCCCTAGGACCTAGGTTTTAAGCTGTGCCAGACCGAGCTTGCTATGGAAGAGCACTACGCCCACTTCATGATTCTTGCCAATAAGGACGAGGAAGCAATTCCTGAGCAAATAGATGGCAGGCAGAGTTTGGGGTTTGCTCTAGATCTACGTCATTTATATCTTCAATCTCTTTAAAGGTTCCTCGGGTAAATGCACTATTTTATCCTTTTGTTTGGAACTCTTTTAGGACTTCTGTTTTGATATTCTTCAATGGGGTCAGTTCAAAAGAATTGGGTTTCATTTTTTCCATGAGCTGAATACTGGTATAATACGTTTTTCCAATCCTCCATTAGGATTTGGCCCCAAAAAAAAAAATCCTCCATTAGGATGACATCTTTTAAGGTAGTTTATAGCTGTGACCCGTTACTCCTCATTTAATTTTCAATTTCCTCACGAAGTATCTAACTATGTCCAAGAGGTGGTTTTTTCCTAGATACAAGTATCCTCATATTAGAGACAATCTTATTTAAAACATGGCCAAATACTAAAAGTGGGTGTCTCTCCTAACAGGAGTGTCTAAAAGAAGTGGAAGCAAAAGGATGAAATAGTTGATATTTTGAAACTGATCCTAGAACAGCCCCAACCACGGATGAAGGATTTGCACGTGGGTTATATCTTAACTCTTGGGCCTACATCCAATCTCTAAGCCAATCTCTTAAAAATTTTCACTGTAATCCATAAGTTTAAATCGGGCTCTTATAAGCTACTATAATCTGTTCCTTACAGTTACAGCACACTTCAAGATCCAAGAGAACCTCACTCACCAATAAGATTAGGTCTACTAGAAGAGACTAGTCCCTCATAATGTAGTGAATCAAGATTTAAATATAAATTATACATCATCCCTTGATTTCTCACTAGGGATACTAGTTTAACTTAAAATTTAATAAATTATATGTCAACGAAATGTTTTTGAAGTTTAATTTTCAACGAAGGAAGTTTCACATGAAAATTTAACGTATTTTGTAAGATATGAGTAAAAACGAGACCATAGATCAAACCTGGAAACTATGCAAAATCCATATCTCACCGTTCAACTTCAAATAGTCACTACCTTCTCATTTAAACTCCATTTTGAGCTAGCAAATAAACCAGCATTGAATTGTTGGAATCTACTTTCAAATTAGAAAAATTTCATATGAATACATATTATATTTTATTATAATATGATAACAAATGTGACCATAGGTCAAATATGATTCATTGTAGATCTATATCTCAATGGTAGACTTCAAGTGTTGATAACTTTTTTTTAATCTTAACTCGATTAAAAAAAATCGAATATATTCGAAAAGCTAATGGAATTATTTTTGGGAAAATTCTATAAAAATGACATAATTTCAAAAACCCAAAAAGGTCACCCTAATTTGTAAATTTCCAAATTAATCATCATGACTAAATTGAAATTTTTAAATATTGGTGAATTTATAATATTGCCCTCTATTTTTTTTTTTTAACAAAAAACCTCAAGCCACTCTCATCAATAACCCCACTAGCTGACCAGCCATTAGAGCACAGGTGATAGATGTTGAGGCTCCAGTGGTCGGTGACCATTTTTTTGAGGCTTGGGCAACTAGTCATATAAGATAGTTAATGGTGTTAACAGAGTTGTGAATATCGTTATAAGAGTTGACAACCATGCATGTTACAAATGTTGAAAAAATTTTAGTTTAAAAACATGAAAAACACATGATAAATGGCGTTAATGGAGTTGTGAGACTTATTAAAAGAGCTGTCAATCACCTTATGAAACAACCTTCCTAAATAAACCGTAAACTTAACTTTTTCATAGTAACTTTAAAAAATAACTTTTTATAACCAAACCAAACTAAATACAAACTCAAATTTTATCATAATCATCTACACTAGCTAATTAGTTATCTATGATAGAAAAGAGCAGCACCCAATCATATATCAAATCACGGATAAAAGAACTTTTCTTAACTCATTTAAATACAAACTATGTAAGAGAGAATCAATCTCATCTAATATGGTTATAGAACAATATACAGTATACCTCATAAATCGAAATAGTAAGAATTAAATCTTAATTCATATTTTATAATAAATTCATAAACAAATCACATGCAATTCTAGGCCTCTGGCTAACTACTAGCATGCATACCACAATAGTACAAATCAAAGGACATAAAACATAATAATGTATGAATTAATTAAACACAGTTTATCCTAAAGTGGTAATATAGAAGAAATAACATAACTCATAAATTGAGGAGACGCTACAAGTCGCTAATGTAGCTTTACTCCTCCTGAGCCTTCCCTGACATCCCTCCTCTAAACCTTTCACTTGAAAAATGTTAGATAAGAAGGATGAGACAACGTCTTAATAACTAAATCCTTACCTATCACACACACTAGTATAGGCTAGCAAGGTGTCAAGTGGGATACATAGAGTTAATAATAGTCAATAGAAATTTATTTACAATTAAACTTACAATAATCATATAAGTCAAATATTTTAACCAATATCATGCAGTTGATAATTTCAAAAGAGATAACATACTTTTTATTTATTTAAAAGATATAAATATCAAATGAAGATACCATGTCATATGCAATCCATGAACCCCCAAATCCATCCTTATATCCTTCTTATTTCTACCGATTGCACCCATGGGCTAAATTCTTTCCATTTGATTGGCTACTCTAATAAGCTCACCAAACAAGTGATATGGACTGGCCAAAGACCACAGAACACTTGGTGGACCATGGGTCTCCCTCTCGAAAAACTAGTGAGGTGTCGCGGTCCTTCGAAGAACTAGTAGGACAATGATAGTGGCCAATCATAGAGCTTCGTATATAGGCTGATACCACGTGGCTTGTATATATCTGTATATTCCAATTATCTCCTCCCCCAATCAAACCAGATGCACAGGGTTCATAATAATACATTTATACGCATAATCAAACGAATTCCATAATAATATCTCATAGTCATAATCATTAATTTCTAACAATACAAATATTTCAACCCTTTTTCAAAAT